GCTTGCTGAAAAACTTGGGGCTTTTGTCATTTTGGTTTTATTATCTAGTCGGCTATAAGTTATCTTCTCTGGTGAGCTTTGTCATGGGGATAATGGATATGGCAAAAAATCAAGAGGAACAAATAATCTAGATCATAAAGGCATTATACTAAAAAGAATGAAAATGTAGTTTTGGGGCTATTGGTTATCGGAGTGATGTGATTCCATCAATACCCGTTAGTTATGCTGGCTACCTGTGCTCAGGCATGTTGTACCGTTGCAGGGAGGGAGAGGTGGAGAGACAGGGAGTTGGATTAGTTTGAGTTGGGGAGGAAAAAGTAACTTTATAAAAAAGTACTATTTGTTCAAAAATTATTTATATATATACGAAGTATTTTTTTAATATTTTTTTAAAAGTAATCTTATCTACTTTTACAGACTTAGCTATCAATTTTCACCTATTTTCTAGACAAAAATCCTTACTCAATTTCTCTCACCTACAGGGCCTGGGGTGCCGTATCATCTGACACCATATTGCAATCCTTACCATATCGACCAGAACCCCCAAATGTATGATAATCTCCCAACAAGCGTATTGCAATCTTGTGCTCATTACACATAACAAAGCGTACTACGTGATAATAGATTAGTAGGTAACCTGGTCCCAACTAAAATCTGTTGTGCTGTTCTTTGAACTACTTTTTTCGAGAGTTTGTCACATCCTGTGAAAGCTGATAGAGGCTGGTATTTTCTCTGTATACAAATTCTGTTGGATGTTGAAGGGTAACCGGTAACATGAAAGTCCTTTAGTACATTTCTTTTTTCTTTTCAAATCACATGGTTTTAAAGTAGTCTTGATCATCCAATAGTGGCCAAAATAAAAACTTGATGTTACCGCATATTTTGATTGCTGCTTTAGGTTCTTGATATATTGGAACTCTACCGGCGAATATATGAAGAATTTTTGGCTGTTCCAGTGGTCAAGGGCAAGAAAAGTGAAATGGAGAAGTTTGCAGGTGGATATTACACAACAAGTGTTGAAGTAAGTGAGAGTTGAAGCTGCTTTTTATTTGAGTTTTTCTTTGTTGATTATTGGAATCATGATGAGTGTTGTATTATGTAATTTGGGACGTATTTTTGTCTTGTTGCATTAAAAGTCCTAAATTGTATATCGTTTTCCTATTCCAGGCATTTATTCCAAACACTGGACGTGGTGTTTAAGGTGCAAACTCACATTGTTTGGGTCAAAATTTTGCAAAGATGTTTGAAATCACTTATGAGAATGAGAAAGGAGAGAAGGCAATGGTGTGGCAGAACTCATGGGCGTACAGTACCAGAACGGTTTGCTTTCCACCATTTGCTATTTTTGTTAAAGTTGTTTGATTGGAGCTTTTGTGCAACTTCCTCATCTGCAGCATCTTGGTTCAATTCATGGACCTATTCTGTTGGAACACTGTAGACTGTTTCCAAGAGATAGGAGGGTCTGAGAGCTAGTCAGCTAATGTATACTCATTTGATCATTGAGGATCTTATCGTACATCCTCAATGTGGAACAATACCAATGAGGGTTTTTAAGGAGGCAAGAGAGGGTGAAATTGTTACTATATAGGATGGGTTGATCATGCCACTTGTTTGTTGAATATGACCCCTTTAATTGACGAAAGGCCTTTTAAAATCTTAATTTATATTCCTTTTATTTGCAGATAGGGGTTATGGTGATGACACACGGTGATGGCAAAGGCTTAGTTTTGCCACCTAAAGTAGCAGCTGTCCAAGTCATTGTGGTGCCTGTTTCTTTCAAAGACGCCGGTACACAAGGAATTTTCGATGCTTTTGCTTCTACTGTCAAAACTTTGAGTGAAGCAGGCATTCGGGCTGAGCGTGATCTTTAGGGATAACTATTCTCCAGGTTGGAAGTACTCACACTGGGAAATGAAAGGTGTTCCATTGAGGCTTGAGATTGGACCAAAGGATTTGGCCAATAGTCAGGTAAATCTGATGCATGTCTCTTTCAAGTTCTTATATTTATGTTTTTCTTATCTAAAAATTGCTATTTTTGGCTTATCTGATCAATGGTTTATGTGATGGTATGGAGCATTTCCGAGAGTGTTTTTAAATTATGTGTTTCATTACCATATCTGCTGAGTCCCTCTGCCCCTTTGTTGCTGGAATATTTTGCAATACATTACAGATATTTGGTCACTGATGTACTGGAATAGCTTCATAACTGAACAAGAATCTTTCAAGTTCCCTTGGGGTGGAATTGAATAAACTGTAATTTGATTTTAAAGTTTTAGTAACAGCTTGTGGTGGCTGGTGCAGTAATGTAATGGACTGTTTGTTACAGAAAGTTATGAATTTGTGTGTTTTTTAGAAGCACATTGCATTGATATATTGCGTAGAAATTTGATTTTGTGGTCATTGTTCTGATATGGTTGTGAGGCATTTTGAATGGTAAATGGTCCCCATTGGACTAACTTCAGCATGGTTGTATAGTTGCTGTGGCAAAATGTTTGTTTGAGGGGCAATGAGCCAATGAATACTACACTGCTATCATCACTGAATTCAAATCGTTCAAAGTTCAGGCACTAGTCCCTTTGGCCTTTTTAACTCATGTCTTGGTGGCAAAGGAGTGCCTTGTTAAAATGTGTGCTTAATTATTTTATTTTTTTATTTTCATTTTTATTTTTGTAAAAATATTGACAGCTTGATTTCCCAGGATAACTTTAGTAGTGTTGCATCACTTGTGGTTCTAATACAGCTATGGCCACACCAGTTTTATTGTCAGTTTCATAATTCTAGAAGCTAACAAATTTATCAACTTTTAGGCTCGTGCTGTTTGACGTGACAATTCGGCCAAGAAGGATTTACCAATGACAAATTTGGTCGATCAGGTGAGAGAATTATTGGACACAATTCAACAAAACTTGTTTGATGTTGCAAAGGAGAAGAGAGATGCCTGTGTTAAATAAGTTAGGACGTGGGAAGAGTTTGTTGAAGCATTGGCACAAAAGAAACTTATATTAGCTCCTTGGTGTGATGAAGAGGTAACATGGATTTTACTTAATATTTGAGTTCATATTTTCTGAAAGTTCTTCACTTTATCTTCATTCTTCTGATCTTTTTTGTTAGTATAATAGATGTTACTTTCTCATGATAGGAACAATCATCTTGATCATGTTCTTTGCATGGACTATTTGATAGTTTGATGTAATCTAATTGAATCCAACTTAAGTAAAATCTAATACATGCTGTTTCATTAGAAGAAAGCCGTGACTCTTCTCACTGCAATCACATGCATGCAACCTACATGAGTGGAGGCTTTAGCTGTTAATTTTTGTATCGACTTTTTTCAAGTAATTTTTTAAAATTTTTGTGTTGACTAGGGTGTTAGTATCGGTATAGTTTGTAGTATTGAACAATTTGCATGGTGATGCACAACTTGTGGAGGTATTGAAAATATGCAACAACACCCCCCCCCCACCAAATGTGTTTTTGGAAGTGCTGTAACTTGGATTGTTTTTTCGTCTCTTCAGGAAGTTGAGAAAGATGTCAAAGCGCGGACAAAAGGAGAGATAGGGGCCGTAAAGACTTTGTGCTCACCATTTGATCAGCCAGCACTGGAAGAAGGTACAAGCTCTTTTCTTGTCATTTCTTTAGACAACTTTATGCATGATTCTACCCGTTTGATCTCAGAACTGATCAATTTTTTTTTCTACATTGGTGCTCATTTAATTATATATTGTTCTTTTGCTGCCTTAATAAAGTAAGAGTGATTTATTCCATTTGTCAGGTACCCTTTACTTCGCTTCTGGAAAGCCATCTAAGAAGTGGTCGTATTGGGGCTGGAGTTACTAAATTATGAACATACTGAAGGGTGGATTGAAGATATACACTTGAACGTCTCTTTTTTTTTTTTTTTTTTTTTTTTTTTGTGTACATGCTCTCCCAGTGTTTCAAAGTCTACTAGACTGACTAATCCAAATTCGAGTTAGGATAAGTCCCAAGTGTTGCTACATTTGCAGGGCTTACAATTGCGACCTTTGATTAGGTTAAAACAATTGTTACCAGCTGATCCAAGCATTCTTAGAAAGATGTCCATCCTTCTTATCAACACACATTAACCTGTACATATTTGTAGTTTAAATTCATCTTTCCATTCATTTACTCCCAGATATGGTTGCTATAATACTTAATGTTGGGTATAACTTTTGTGGCCCAAATCTTTGAAAGGCCCAACTAATTAACTCTCAAGATCTAGAATAATCTACTAAATCAAGAAATGGATGGAGAATTGTGGAAGGCTCTAGAAATATTAAATGACTATGAAAAATCTAGACTTCCACCAAAAATATCTACCTATGTGGAAGGTTTCACACAAATCTTCCACCTCCATATTCCATCTATAAATATAAGTGTTGTCATCCACTAGAAGCAAGCAATTAAGAAAAAATCCACACATACAAAAAGTCCCTAATCCTCCATCACACTAAAATTATTTCATCTCATAAGTTTACTTAAAACTTCCTCCTTGTACTTTTTATCCACTATCCTTTTAATACTCTTTTGTGAGTACTTATTATTGTGAGAGTTATTTTGTAATCTTACAACTTTTAGGGTCTTTTCACTTTTGTACTCTCATATATTTTAATATAGTGGAATTATTTTAAAGTGCTCGTTAGGTGTTATTTTCTTGCCATTTATACTTTATCAATTTCTCGATCAATCACGCTTTCGCAAGCGTCCTTAACCTTTCACTTAATTCATTACTTCATTGTCAATTTTTCATTTTATGAAAACCATTAAATTTGATTTTAGTTGAACATAATATGAGCGTCCTTACCCTTTAACCCTTTCTGGCAAACAACTTCAGAATCATGAAATTTTTCCTATGGAGTATTGGTCAAAGGCATTTTGTTATTTTAGAAACATGTTTCAGATTATAGTACTATTATATGACCTGTTTCTAATAGGCTACAAGAAACATGTACAGATTATCAGTATAAAAGAAGGCAACAATATTGGTTTTAGAGAAGCTTATCCTATATATTGTAATTACAATTAGAGCTGTTTGTATTGGTACAAAATGTATGAAAAATGAAGTGAAAAATTCAAAGAATTTAGATTCCATTAAAAATGAGACATCTCTGCTGTACAACAAAAGAAGTGAAAGCCGAGTCCGTGTGATTGATGTGAATGCAAGACCTTGCTTCAGAAAAAGATATCAGATTGCTTCGATTGTGCTTTAAGGTCTTTCAATTTCTTCAAAATGTTGGTGAAATAATCTTGCAAGTATTTTTCCAAAGTAACGATGTCTTTTGGATCCACACCAAGAAGTTGATAGGTCTCTGCCATTGGAGCTGAGAACACCATGTCGCTCGAGAGTACCTAACAGTTTCCAAGTAGGTGGTTAATTGCCTCAGTACTGATTTCAAGTAACAGCAAACTATAAATGCAAAGCAAAATTATAATAGCTGATCTTATCAGTTATCTCCATTAATTTATGTATTTTTATTCCCCATTTGGTGACTATTTCAGTTTGTGGAGTTTATTATTAAATCCTTTTATCAGATAAAAGGATTAAAGAAATAAGAACGAAAATGAAAGACAAATTGAATCTTCTACAAGTTCCCATGCATTTGATTCCACCAGAATAAGTGAGAGAGCAACTGAGCAAGATAGGGCCATGTTGCCATCCTTACTGACAAACAATAATAAAATTACCCTACCTCTGAAAAGGCCAAATCTATCGGCAACGTCACTAGTCCACTGAAAGAATCGAGTCAGCTGGCGAGTTGTTTTTAAGACGGAAACAGGGACTGTCGTCACATTGGCATCTTGTCCTGCTAGCCTCTCGCATAGCGTTATCACCTAGTAACAGCAAGACCTTTTTCAGTAAATATTATCCCACATACAAATTTAAAAAGGAAACTCATTCATTTCATTGAGGATTTGAGTCCAACCGATTTATTCAGTAACAATAAGACCATGCTTGGATTGGGGGTAATATATATATATATATATATATATATATATATATATATATATGTGTGTGTGTGTGTGTGTGTGTGTGTGTGTATGTATATATATATATTTTGGTGCAAATGAGGGCCAAGCTCGTTTATTAGAAAAATAAAAACGATTACCTGACAAACCGTGGCAAAGCCACACCTATGGTATCCTCCCAAAGAAGACTTTTTATTTCGATCGGAGGATCATCGAAATAAACTACCCTTTCTTCAAGAGGAACACCCATATTAGCTAACTTATCGGCTACTTTATTCCCTTCCCTAAAACAATGAACAATTTTAACATTACTACCTAAAGACTTGATAAGGTTGCTACAATATTATTGGGGGTAATATATTAAGGGGTAATAAAAGTCAAACTTGAAAAAACATAAGTAATTAGAGGTATTGTTGTAGGATACATGGTGTTTACAAATGAAAGTAGGTAGTTTTACCATGAGGAAAAGAGAGAGATGGAGGAATTATTACCCTCACAATGAAGGTAATAGTTAGCCACCCTCTCCCTAGTGTAACTATTACCCCCAAAATGAGGGTATTAGTTTCTCTCTTTCTTCACCTCATACCACACCATCACTACATAATATTCCTTACAATCACACCATCACTATCTCCTCCTTCCCAATTTTCACTTTCATTTTGCTTAGTTTGACTTTTATTACCCTAGTAATACATCTCCCTCAATCCAAGCATGCCCTAAAGAGTTTTTTATTATGCAATTTTCTTTGGGGTGATATTATATAACAAAAGCGAAATTAGAAAAGAGAATGAGAAGAAAAAGGAAGGCATTGCTACCGCAAGCAAGGATGAGAGTACATTAAAGAATCACCAACTAGGACCATAGATGAAGAAACTCAACAGACAACTAATGTCCTCAAACCAAAGACATAATTTAAGTACCTCTTGTGTTTGTCCATGCACGAGGTCCAGCAAACGTGAGAAGCTTTCCTTTTAAGATTCTCATTGCGCAAGGCAATGAATGTTAATCGAGCTATATCCTGGAAAATTAGGTTAATTTAGTTAAAAAGATCAAAAGAATCTTGTCTAGTAGACTACAAGAGATGTGGGAATCAAGTAATCGACTCCTGTGTAAAAAGACCTGAGTGTCCATATAAGCTATCCTTGTCGGGGCATCAGTTCCCCAGACAGACTTCTCTTCCAATATTGGCACAGCGTACTGCCCAATAAGGCCCTGAAAATTGGAAGCAACAGTGGAAAATTTAATACCGATGGCTGCAAAAGTCAACTTGGTATGGGCACTTGCACTTCCAAAGCCAGGTTTAAAAAGATATAGAGGTACACATTTTTACAGTATTGTTACCAAAAATAACTCATTTTCAGAATACCACAAGTAAAAATAATATTCGATCAATATTTCAAATTTCGTAATAGTAAGGGGGAGAGATAACAGTCCCAAAAATGTCATTAGGGCTACTTTCTACCAAAAATGTCATTAGGGCTACTTTCTACCAATTACTTTTCTATGTCCAAGTTTTAGATAAAGATAATATCATAATAATTGGTGTGTCAAAGGTACAGAGACCAAACTAGATTCTATGTAAACAATTACTAGAAAATTAAAGCCATCCAGTTGATTTATAATCTTGCAATATGAAAATTAAATCATCCTCTTAAGCTTTAATCTTTCTTGACTTTACCTGCATGAACCCGCATAATCTTATTGTAATATGGTTCAATCCAGAATCTTGAAGAAATTTCTCAGTGCAATACTTGATCTCCATTAATGGTACTTCAGGATGCTTGTCACAGTTGTGAATAGAAAAGAACACATACTTTTGGATTCCCATTGCTTTTGCACATTGTATGAGAGCAACTTTGCCTTCCCAATCTACCTAAATTGACCAAGAAACTCAGTTAAGGTTGAAAGTCCATAAAGGTATTGACCAAGAAACTCAGTTAAGGTTGAAAGTCCATAAAGGTATTGACCAAGAAACTCAGTTAAGGTTGAAAGTCCATAAAGGTATGCAGGGGGGATGATAGCTCATGAAGTGAAACATCAGACTCTACAGCTAATTACATGCTTCATATATTAGATGTCGATTTCTTAAACACAGCTAATTATCTGGCTGTTACTAGACACTACAGGATAGTATTGCTTTTAAAAGTGCCTAATATCCCTTTACTCAATATGCATGTAAAAAAATTTAAATCAACAAACTAGACCACTAAACAGAGAAAGGAAGGGAGTTGCGTCTGGTAGACCTGACAATCCTAACCCAGACCCGATGACCCGACCCATGACCCGAAATTGACCCAAAAACATTGACTCGAAAATGATCCGACCCATACTCGACCCGAAAATGGAGTTGACCCGACACCCGAATTGACTCGACCCGAAATAGACCCAAAGTGTTTGACTCGAACAGACCCGATACCCAAAATTGACCCAAACAGACCCGATACCCGAAATATCTTCAACTAAAATTACCTTATAATTAAATTTAAAATGTCTTGTACCAAAAGTAACTCAAAATTGTTCATCTTCAACCATAGCTAAGCTCATAAATTGAATTGATAGTTTTTATTATAACAATAACAAAATATATACTCCGTATAAAATTATTCATTTGAGCTTGATTCACAAATGAAACAACCCGAACATGACCCGACCCGAACTTGACCCGATACCTGACCCGAATCGACCCGACCCGACCCACAACCAACCCGAATAATAGCTGACCCGAAATGACACGACCCAAAAGTGACCCGACCCAGACCCGACCCGAATGACCCATTTGCCAGGTCTAGCGTCTGGCAAGAAAATCCTATTTCTGTCCAGATTTTGGGAAAAGTATTTTAATACGGGATGAGTAAATCAACAGTCAACTCCAAAGGCACCAAAACTCTTGTTTCATGAGCAAATAAACAATTGATAAACCTTTGGACACATACTGTTTTGATAGGCTCTTCAGGACGTCCAGTGGCACAATCGATAATCGTGTGAACCCCCACCAGTGTTGCTGGTATTGTCTCTGGTTTGCTCAGGTCTGCCTGTGCAAACATCAATCTGTTATCAGGGTACAAAGAATAGGAGCATAACTTCAAAATTAGATTGAGCTGACTATTCACATATTTTAATAAGAAAGAAACTCCAATATAAGTTCCAGCACACCTTTTTTTTTTTTTTTGGGGGGGGGGGGGGGGGGGGGAAGGCTAGGGTCCTAGGGAGGACCTTTTCTTCCCTGGGAAAATCCAGAAAAGTGATTAGTGATCCCTTTCAAAAGGTAGGTAAGTAATTTATTCTATGAAATAGAGATTCTTACATTAACAACAATTGCACCCCAGTCACGAAGGAAATCAGCAGGAGCTGGTCGAGGCCTCACAAGACAGCGTACATCATAGCCTTCATCCAGTGCCCGTCTTACAACCTGCCTTCCAAGAGTCCCAGTAGCACCAACAACCAATATACTTGTCGGCCTGACAGGTGTACCAGGAGCATAATTAGTCGATGCAGCTGGCTGAGCGGTGCACTTTATTAAGGGCGGGGCATAAGATCTTCCTGAAATAAATGTCACTCGTATTGAGCCTGATATAAAGCACTCTCTTGCATTTTAAAGTTACAGTAAATCCTGACAATAGCGATTCTACTTTATCTTCTTCATCGCTATAAGCTAAAGACACAATCAATGTGAATAACATCATTATAACTGCTTTAATCCACATTCCGTCTCCCCAATCAACGACCTAGACTGAATTCTCCAGTGCACACTCTAAAATTACCAAGAGACTATAATAGTTAATGTCACTAGCCGTAGACACAGTCAACATAATGATCTATACTTAATTACTAATTTACATGAGTCAAATATATACAACCCACACGACACAACTTAAGCACGAAAGCCAAGAGTTATAAAGCCATAGTTAATAGGGCAATTCCGAGATTATTCTCAAGTCTCAACTCATAATCTGTACTAAAGTTCTATACTCCTTAGCTTATTTAACTAAGTTTTAGCAAATTATGTTAAGCAAAAAAATGAATTTAGTTAAAAGTTGAGCAAATAAATAAACTTAACAATCGAACTCCTTATCTTATTATTCATATACTACAGTATAATACTTGGTATATTGATAACTCAACACAAAGCCGTAAATTAAGATAATGGTAATGGTAATGAATTTATCTATAATCGTACTTCCTTAGCAAAACAGCCATTATAACACGAATCGAGTTAGAATACCATAACTATCTTTCTATCAATAATTCAATTAAATTCGTTTCCATCATGCCACGGACAATTACGGGGTTATCGTCAAAATTTAAATATACTAAATTAAGACAATGTCTTACTATTTTAATAGAAAATCTAGCCTATTGTTTCGTAATATAGGGACGGAGGGAGTAATTAATATAATTCTGAACCAAATGCTATCTAATCGATCTCCGACTACCACATTATGCTATTCATTTACAATTGAACGAAATTGAGATGAAACATTCAATTATTCAAACAAAATAGCAAGGAAACTAAAAAAAACGGAGTAAAAGAAGTACCAGAAAGAGAGGAGAGAGAAAACGAGGGAGAAATTCGGAAGTTTTGAAAGCTAAGATTGGATTTCCAAGACAACAAATTGGGGCACCCTAAATGGTGGTGGAGCTCCGGTGGAGTGGCTACTTGTGCAGGAAGTCTTCCCGCCATTGTTGCTCTCTCTTCAATTCTTCAGTTTATCTGCAGAGTAGTTGTTCTCAACAGTTGGAATTTGGAGAAGAGAAGAGAAGAGAAGAAGAAACAAGTGGACGAAAAAGGGTCATCACATATACTGATCTTGGTCTTGCCACGTCCCTCTCTTTCTGTGTTCTTTATGGATTACGTTTTTTTTCTCTCTTGAAAAGTTGAAGGGTTACATAAAAGTGTCAATTTGGTCATTGCGTCCGCTTCAATTGGGTCTAGTCGAGTTTGGCTTTGGGTTTACATTATATCATCGTGTCTATTCAATCTAGGTTGAAATTTATACAGAATACATAATATCTAATTTGATTCAAAAATAAATTTACCTTTGTTAAATAAACAGCAATCTCAATTAAAGAAAAAAAAAAATGCTAATGTAATACGGAGTAATTTTCACACCGATATATTTTTATATAGTAGTATAAACATTTACATGTATGTTTTCCAAAATTTGGAATAAAAAAAGCAAAATAATAAAATGCTGTTTAAGTCCTATAATTTCTACTCGCTAGTCTATCCTGTATCAGATGCTACCTTGAGAAAAGTATTAACTATGTAACCCCCCCCCCCTTTTTTTTTTTTTTTTTTTTTTTTTTGCTGAAATCCAAGTATAACCCCTTCTAGCACTACACCAAGAAACTAAAAGAAAAAATTTGGTAAGAAAAAAAAAATAAAAAACTGCCCTGAGAAAATTTTCACTTTGTATATTCAGTTGCCTCTAATGTACAAGCTTATCTTGAGGCTCAAACACTTTGTCATTTACAGAAACCGGGAAGTCGAAACTGGAACTTTCTTCTGTGCTAGCCAGGAAAGGCCATTCTGTACACGTTATATTCACACGTCACTGCTGTCTGCTGCTCAAATCAATGCAAGACAAAATTCGGCTTTACAGAAACTGGCAAGTCCAAATGCACGAAGTCAATGAATAGGATCAGGTGAAGAACAGAGAAGCTGCTAGGAAAAGTAATTTTTCTGAGCCATTTAATCTGAAAGGAACTCCTCTAGTTCTGGATGATGATCTGATGTCAGGATATTACTTGGATCCCTATTAATGCCTCGAGGCAGTTCTCTTTCTGGGAGATTATTTTTATTTCTAAATCTTCTTGATCAGCCAATTCTTGTTCATCCTCAATATTCTGGTAATCATTTATTTCAGCTGCATCGAAACCTCCTGTGCTATATTCTTCCCCTTTTTGATACAAGGTGGCTGGATTATCCTGAAGATCATAGACCGGAATGTTGGGCAAGGAGCTTTTTACATATGCAAGACGAAGGATTTTCATGGAACTCGCCTTTTCCTGGTTTTACCTCATTTGGTTCACCCATAAAGCCAACCTGATAAGTTCTAATGCCCATAGCAAACCCTTCCCACGTCATATTGTTCATGTTCAAGAACAGACGGGATATCTTTTTAGCATTTGGGCGTATAGTAGGCTTGTGACCATAGTATCTCCTGCACCAGAGAACTACATGTTTAGTTGCATGCTTTTCAACAACTTAACTATCTCCATAGTGCCTAGCATGATTAGACTATTGTTAGCAAAGTTGATTTGAGGTAGAATACATACCTTCTTCCTGCTAAAATCCTGGCCATGTTACCATTGTTATTGGTTACAAATACATCACTCTCGTCAGAAACGATGAAATCCAAAGCAGCCATCCGAGCAGAATATGGTGCAAATGGTGCCAGCTCCTCCTGACTGGCTAGAGTGTCTTTAGAATGGAAAATAGGGAAAAGCGCCCTAAGAGGTGCCAAAGTATCTTCTCCGCCATAGACCTCTCCAGATGCCACGTAAATATGTACATCACTGTTGTAGCCAAGCGCTCTCAGCATGAGACCAACTTCCTCTGGAGTGAGTGGGCATTTTCCCTGCCTTCTCTGCTTGTCAGGGTTGCTTTTCTGTCCATATTTTCAATGGATTTCTTAGAAATGGTTTAGCTAATTCCTTCATGTACAAACAGATATATGCACATTGAAACTCACATGTAATGTTTTCCACCGTTTTCGTATCGCACCAAGTTCTGCCCTTTCTTTCTCTCCTCCACCATAATCACAACCCGAGAATGCAAGCATGTCAGGCTCAAACCTGCGGCATAAGATACATATATATATCAACGGATTGACCTACATTATTTTTATAGTGAGGTTCAGAATTTGGTCAAGGGCCACTAATGAGTAATGACTGTATGACCTAAATTATTCTTACAGTGAGGTTCGGAATTTGTTCAAGGACCACTAATGACTATCAACAAACAATGTCTAGCAGTTATGCAGTAGGTCAGAACAAATACAAACACAGATATTTTAATATATAATAGTAATATACAGATATAGATTTAGAAGGGGCAGATTCACTAAAAAAAAGGGGGGGGGATTAAACATTAACATAGATATGTGCACTCTGGTTGGCAATTATGACTTTAGGAGCAACATCCTTTTCATAATATAACTGACGGTCACAATAAACGTATTTATGAATTTGAAAATAGAATAAGATATAGCACTATATCAAAATACTAGAGATTTGCTACACTCTTACCTCAAGTGCAGGGCAATAAAATGTTCACTTCTCATCCTCATTCTTTCAACTAGCTTTCTTCCCATCTCAACAATGGGATCAGTGAACTTTAAAGCATGGTAATTAACCCTACATCTTAGCTTTTGTAAATCTGTCTCCAGGACATTTGATAGCCTGTAATCAAATTTTGTCAGCTGTACAGCCTGCACGGCAAAGAAGTCAGTCATCAAAATCCATTAACTCAACAGCACTCATGAAAGTCTACAAAATGTCTGACAGACTTTTGAGTTATAACATAACCCAATCACTCCAATCTAGAAATAACAACGCATGAACTTTATTGATTATGAAAATGTTGCATAAAGCTTCATAAAATAGTTTATTCAATACACTCATTTGCAATAGAGTTAAATAAGTCATTACTGGGAAAGTATTCCATGTTGAACTACAATCAGCTAAAATCAAATGTCTCATCTATCTCTTATTTATCTCCTTATACACACACACACACACACAAGAAGTACGTATATATTTGACCCTCCTACACAACTCTAAATCGTAGTAGTAGTTGGGTCGATATTAATTAGGTAAAATAGGGGTCGAGCTGTTTGCATCAAAATGTGAAAGATCTGAGCATGATGCATCCTGAAAGGTCTTATAGTAGCACTACTTGAGTGATCAATTAAGTATGTTTAATGTTGTCAAATCACATAATTGAAATGGGAAGGGGAACTTTACATTAGAGAAGTTGATATTTCCTTCAAAGAGAAATACACTTTGCAGAATATAATACTCACATGCTTCTTTTTGAGAAGGGGTAAGATTCGATTCAGGTAGTATTTAGGACTGGACTTCCTAGGAACTCGAGTACGGACTGGAGTAAGAACCTTTCCTCCTACCATTGGAAGCTGCTTTAGAATTTTGACATCATTTGAAAGAAATGACATAAACCAATCAACATCAAATATGTCGCCAAAATCACTGCATGCACAATGAAGTGGATAGAGTAAGACATAAGAAGACAGTACTGATGTTTGTTTTCCTTTCTAGGCCAATGAACTAATCAGTTGATTGGTAAATGCTAGGAAAGAGTCAAAACAAACCTTGCATCCTTCCAGTAAGATTTCTGGTCCAGATTGGGAACGATAAGTGTTGCATTTAAGATATATAGGCTGCAACAACGGCATCTGTAATCTGTTCCATTATGAGCATGAAACAGTTCATATTAGTTAGCAAAATTGCAGTTCAAGTGCTAAAGCATATCCAAAGCATGATTAATCAAAAGAGCATAATGGATTTAAAAAGAAATATTCTGATTACAATTCTTTTCTTAAAACTGGAGCAAATTGAGTAAATAGTGTCATAGTAAGCTACATGGTTTATTATCCTATCATATCATGGGGCTGTACTTCCTAAGAAGCATAAGCATCCAACGAGCTAGTCAGTACAAGGTTTGGTGGGGACTATGATTAACAACAGGTTTTAATAGGAATTTTAGGTTAGCATATCTGATGAGAAGACTTGCCAAAAGTTGATCCCTTCCTCTAATGTGACAATTATTGTACAGAATTGTCAATAGCGCGAAAATAGCATGCCCTACCCATGTGTTCTAGAAATTCAAAAAATTAAAGAAGTATCCAAATGGGATGGT